AAGATGACCATGAAGGAAAGCATTTTTAACATCTAGCTGACGCATAACCCACCCGAATGAAATAGCTAAAGTGAGAACAGTACGAACAGTGGTGGGTTTAATAACAGGACTAAACGTTTCAGAAAAATCTACACCAGCCTGCTGATTAAACCCCTGAGCAACTAACCGTGCCTTGTGGCGCTCAATAGACCCATCTGAAAGAAATTTTGTCTTATAAATCCACTTAGAGCCAACAATATTTTTAGAGTTATCAAAAGGTACCAGATCCCAAGTGTGGTTAGCAATAAGTGCATTAAATTCCTCAGCCATAGCCTTACGCCATATCAAGTGTTTATTTGCCTCAGAAAAACAAGTAGGATCTGCTGAAAGAACAACCGTGTTTAAATTAAAAATAGTTTTTGGTTTAAAAATTCCAGATTTTGCCCGAGTTTGCATCGGGTGGACATTAACAGGGGAAGGGGGTTGTTGTTCGGGCTCGGGTTCTGGACTGGGTACGGGGTTTGTAGATGGGGTGATAGGTGGGTTGTTCGGCTGAGATGGAGTGGGGTCAGATAAAGGGCTGGTCGGTGGACTGGACTCAGCCGAGGAGAGTTCGAGCTGGCTTGTGTCCGCTGTAGCGAGGTGTTCCGGAGTGGAGAAGCTGACCGGGCTGGGGGTTGAGGTTGGGGTGGTCGGACATGCCGTATGGCGGGACTGAGGTGGCTGGTCTGGGATGGGCCGAGGATTCCGAGGAAGAGGTAAGAAAGCAGGTCGAGGATGATCCTTGGGAAGTGAGTCTGATCGGTTCCAGGAGGAAATAGGGAGGGGAGTTTGGGAGGTAGAAGGCGTGTTATGCATAGTAGAGGTCAAAGTGGTGTACGGAAAAATATTTTCACAAAAACGCACATGCCGACTTATGTATACTTTTCCGGTTTGAGGATCAAGACAACGATAACCTTTATAACCAGATGCATATCCTAGAAAAACACATTGAATGGATCGGGGAGAAAGTTTATTGGAGGAACTGGCAGAAATATTTGGAAAACACGCACAACCAAACACACGTAAAAGGGAATAATCAGGAGATTTTTGAAAAAGTTTTTCATAAGGAGAGTGACCAGACAACGTTGGAGTGGGTAATCTGTTAATAATATATACAGCCGTAAACAACGCATCAACCCAAAAATGACTAGGAAGAGATGCCTCAATAAGCATAGTTCTAGTTAGTTCAAGTAGATGACGATGTTTACGCTCAGCAAGCCCATTTTGTTGAGGAGTGTGAGGGCAAGATTTTTGAAAATAAATTCCATGAGTATCAAAAAATTGCTGCATATGAGAATTAACAAACTCACCCCCTCCATCACTTTGAAAAATTTTAATTCTAGAGTTAAAAAGATTTTCAACTAAAGATTTAAAAATTTTAAAAGAGTCAAAAACCTCGCTTTTATTACGTAATGGGTAAATCCATGTAAAACGAGAAAAATCATCAATAAAGCAGACATAATATTTAAATCCTAAATTAGAAAGAACAGGAGATTGCCACACATCAGAATGAATTAATTGTAAAACAGAGGAAGAAGTGTGAATAGCATCTGAAAAAGGTAATCGTTGAGACTTGCCTAACCGGCAAGAAATACAGTCATGGGAAAAACTAGAGCTATTACATATGCGTTTTTGACCACTTAAAATACGTAAAATATTTTCACCACAATGACCTAATCTACGATGCCACACAGGGCCGGTGGTGAGGACTGAAGATAAAGCTAGGCTAGATGGTGGACTCAGGCTGAGGGGATAGAGATGGCCATTAGTTGTTGCCCGAAGAAGAACCGCCCCCGAAATTTTGTCCTTAACAAAAAAGGAATTTTTGTCAAAAATAGCAACACAGTTGTTATCAGCACACAATTTTTGAATTGAAATTAAATTAAATTTAATATTAGGCACATGATAAACAGATTTCAATAGCAGTTGGCGGCCAGAGGAATTTAAAGAAATATCACCAACATGTTTTATAGGGAGTTGAGCACCATTAACAACACTAACAATAGTTGGACCAGAATAAGTAGATTTATTTGTCAAAATACCTTCAGAGGAAGTCATATGAGCAGAGGCACCAGTGTCTGGATACCACAGAGCATCATTAGCTTGGCCGGTGAGAAGAACAGGTGCAGAGGGTGGAGAAAATCGGGACGGACAGCTGATTGCAGAATGACCTGCAGAGAAACAAATTTGACACACAACGGGAGGGGGAATTGCCCCAAGAATTCCCTCAGCAGATGAAGAGCCTGCAGACTTAACATTAGTATCACACAATGATATAGCAGCAGTATTTAAAGTGGACAAAACAGAATTACTTATAGCACCTGCATTTAGCGGTCGGAATTGTTGCTGCTGCCCTTGGCCGAAGGCCTGCTGCCCCGGACCAAATCCCTGCTGCCCCTGGCCGAAGGCCTGCTGTCCCGGACCAAAGCCCTGCTGCCCCGGTCCATTGTAAGGTTGCTGCTGACCGGAGTTGTTGGCCCCACGTCCTTGACCGAAGCCATGCTGTCCCCTGCCGCGAGCTGCCCTGCCACGGCCCCCTCTGCCGCGGCTACCGCGGCCTCCACGCGGTGCAGCACCCCGTTCCTGTGCACCAAAAGCTTGATAGGCTGGAGGAGCAGTTTGTTGACGGAGAAAAAGGACTCGCTGTTCAGCCTCTAACAAGCTTCGGTGAAGTATGTCTGGCGGAAAATTATCAGGAAAAAGGGAAATAGTGCCCATAGTAGATTCATATTCCGGTCCAAGCCCCATAAGAGTGGTCTGAAGAATTTCTTTGTTGGACACCGGAGAATTGATTGCGGCCAATTCACCAACTAAATACTTAATTTCCCTTAAATAACTCTCCATGGATTGATTTTCCTTCTTTTTCATATTGGTCAGATTACGTCTAAGTTCCATAGAACGGGCCAAACTAGCAGAACGAAAACGAGTTTCAAGTCTTTCCCAAATCTCAAAGGCATGTTTAAGTTCATGTACATCAATTAAGACATCACGGGTAAGAGTAGCAAAAATCCATGAACGAATGGTTTGATCAACCCGTAACCAGTGATGATAATCAGTATTAATGATTTGGTGATTATTAAAATCAACCGTGTGCATGGGAGGAACCGGAGTGGATCCATCGAGAAAACTAAACAAACCTTGAGAGACGAGGAAAGATTCAAACTGAGTGCGCCATGTGATGTAATCTTCCACCGCTTTGAGCTTGATCGTCACAATTTGAGTAACATTGGAGATCGGAGAGATTGATTGAGCAACGGTCGCCATGGGAGATTGGAACAAAGTGTGATCTGTTGGGCGGGTGATGCCCGGTGCGCCGGAGAAGGTAGAACCGAAATACCCCGGACTGGAGCGTGGTGGAGGCAGCGGAGTAGAGTAGAGACCGGGGATGTCAGGAATTATAGGTGACTGCCATGGAAACACCGGTGGAAGTGATTGGAACAAGGAATATGTTCCTGGGACAGCCGCGGCGAAGGAAGAGGAAGCGGACTGCATAACCGGACTTGCTTGAGAGGCGGACACCTGTTGCGGCACTGGCTGGCTTATGGCGGCGGTGGTGACGCTGACGGCTGCGGCGGTTGAAGCAGTAGAGACCGGCGCCGTGGTTGGAATAGAAGAAACGGTGGAAGCTGCCATGGAGGAGAATGAACTGGCGGCGTCCATGGCCGAGGATGAGTTTGCGGCAGAAGAAGAAAAATCGGCCGAGCTCATCGCGAGGGTTTAGAAGAGAGAGAAAAAAAAATTAGGCTCTGATACCATGTGAAATAATGGGAAAGGTTACCCAATAGGGTACCTGGCAGATATATTTATACTAATAAAAGTTTCCAAAGATACAAAGGATTCCTAATTTAATATTAGGCTATTAATATCTAGTGATTACATTTAGTTATGTTTGGTAACGACTCATGATTTTTTATAGGAATCGAACCAATTTAAATAGTTTTACGTTTTAATAAGGGTTCCACTATCTATTTAAAATCCAAACGATCGGAGCCTAAACCAATGTTTGTTGATATTTCCATAATTCCATCGACCACATGAAAATATGACATTTCATCCTACATTGATTTAAAACTGAGTGGAATCTAATACTCCCTCCGTCCCAATTTGATGATCCCGTATTTCCTTTCTGGGCCGCCCCAAATTGATAGTCTCATTTCCCTTTTTGGAAAGAAATATGTGGTCCACATCATTTCACCTTTTTCTACTCAAATCTCAACCACAACTTTTACCTTTTCAACCACTTCCTTAATCTTTGAGCCCAAAAGAAATGGGATCATCAAATTGGGATGGAGGGAGTATGAAGTAAAAGGGAAGGTGAAAATGTCTTTTTATGTGTATGTTTGAGAGTTATGTTTTGAAGGAGACTAAGGAAGGATAAGGGTGAGTAGTTTTTTTAAGGGTATATTTGGGAGTTAAGTCTTGAGAGGGGAGGAGTGAAGAATATTCATGACCCTTGGAAGGATTGATTTTGCAATGTTTCTAATTTTCTATAACCCTTTAAAAGCCCTCAAATCATTCCTCTCACAATCCCTATGAACTATGGTCCACCATCGCCTACCCCAAAGGCCCAAATGTGATTCCTCTCACAAGTCACAACACTTATGGTCAATTATGTGCTGAACAACAAGGGGTAAACGAAGAGCTGAGACTTGGAGGAGGTATATTACTTTAATTACTCCGTATTATCTAAGAAAGTACACTTCAACTACACACGTTGACCAATATTTTGGGTCAACGTTGTCAGATACCTTTTCTTGCAATTTTTTTTCAAGCAATCCTATGATTTATATTTGTTTTCATTCTAATCCATACCAATAATAACGACTTCCATTTGATAATGAAAGAATCTAAATTAATAGGTTTTCACTCATTTTCTATATCATGCGAATAAAAAGTACCTAATTTTACTTTTTTTTTGAGAAGAAGATAATTAATTAACATTAATCGAATCATTGTCAATTACATATGAAATAAAAAACGGAGGATGAGTAAACCAAAACTGAAAGTCAGACAAAGAACAGGCCGCCTTAGCCATAACATGAGTCGCCTTGTTCGTTGACCGTCTAACATGAGAAAAGGAGATGCTAGCGAAGTTGTTTGCAATATCTCTAATATCAGCTGCCACCAACCCATAGGAAGAAATACTCGAGCCTTTCAAAATTTCCGAAATGGCGCGGGAAGCATCAGACTCGACTTCAATTGCCCTCCACTCAAAATCGAGTAGCCAGCTCAATGCTTCTCTAATTCCAATCAACCCGGCTTCCAGTACAGATAAATTCCCCTGCCACTTGCGAGCTGCTTCAGCCACGAACTTACCTTCCTCGTCCCTAAGGCACCATCCCAGCCCACAGTAACCAGTACGAACGACAGCATCAACATTCAGTTTCACCACCCCCCGCAGCTGGGCAACACCAAGAAGCTACCATCCTCAGCCCTGCTAACCTTCCTTCCCTGCGAGCTGTCTGCGCTTGGGCCCATCCCGTCATGAACGCCTCCGCCTTGAGCATAAACTGACGCGCCGGAGAAGAAGCCTGCTGCCAAACCCGGCAGTTCCTCTCGCCCCAAATAGCCCAACAACCCCAAATCAACTTTGCCAAATCCTCCTTTCTCTTTACATGAAATTTCTTCCCAACCTGCTCCAAGAAGTCATTTCCACCTTGAGTAGTCCATTTCCATGACACTGTCGACCATGCCTCCTTAGCAACCGAACATGTCATGAAAATATGGGTTAGGGACTCCCCAGGATCCCCACAAAGTCCGCACTGATTTGAACAATCCACCCTGCGTGATTGTAAATTAGTACGGGTTGGGAGACAGCCGCTACAAATCTGCCATAAGAAGATTTTAATTTTCGGAGGGAACTTCCACGACCACATAGCCGGCCAGTCAACCCGCTCAGTTAGGCTGAAATCACCAACAAGATATCTATAGCAGCTTTTAACAGAAAAATGCTCGTCTTCCTCCCACTTCCAACATCTCAAATCCGGCGGTGAGTGCAAACTAATCGGAATGGATTGAATAAGTTTAACATCTCTGTCAGCAAGGATATCTCGCAAAATGTCAGTATCCCAAGCTCTTCCCGAACTGTCAAACAGGTTATCCACGGTAATGTGTTTTAATTCCTCACAAAAGGCGTGATAAGACTGGGATTCTTCCTATCAGGCAGCCTGGGCTCCTCCCATATATTTATAGATTTACCATTCCCAACCCGCCATCTATAACCATCTCGAACCACCCCTTGAGCCTGGAAAAGGCTCCTCCATATAAAAGAAGGGTTGTGACCAAGAGTGGCCGATAAAAAATCCCCTCTAGGAATGTAGCGAGCCTTGATCACTCGACCGACAAGTGAATCCGGATTAGCAAAAAATGCCACGCTTGTTTGGTGAGCATCGAAAGATTAAATTCCTTGAGCCTTTTAAAACCCATATCACCAAAGTTTTTAGGTCTACTTAAAAAAGCCCAATCCTTCCAACGAATTCCTCCGCCCGACTTACCCTTCCACCAAAAGCCATTCATAAGAATTTCAATTTCTTTACACAACTCGTCAGGTAGAAGAAAAACATTCATAGCGTAATTTGGCATAGCGTGGATCACAGATTTCAACAAAACCTCTCTGCCCGCCTTAGAGAGAAATTTATTGTTCCAACTATTAATGCGATTGACCACCCGCTGTCTTAAGTATCCCAAAATATCTTTTTTTCCTCTCCCAACAAAACCTCTCTGACCTAATTTTACTTTAGAAGGTTGATTATGCATATTTTAAAAATGGGAATAATTAGTTTTAGATTATTTTAACTCTTATATTAGCCAAAAGAAATTATAAATGGATAAATTTAAAAAGATTTAGTAGTAATGTGTAACCAATTTGACAATATCTTTTTTTTTTTTACCCCGGAAGGCAAACCACCAAAACCACCAATTTGACAATATCTTTTTTCTAAATAGAGTTATCTCGAAGTTAGAGATGAACTAAAAACCATCTGGTGCATATTACAAGGATGGAAAAAAAATAGTATATTACATAGATCTAAAATAAAATGTGTCAAAATAATATATTTAGAAATGCCAGTTGTGAACGTGTTTGTGCTTTGTTCGTGCATTCTACTACTTTTTACCCGTCTCGGACTCGACGTTCAGTTGTTGGCCATTAATGGAGATCAAATCAGACTTATGAAAGGATGTCAATGAAAGAGGTTGATTGCAAGCGATCAAAAAATAGCGAGGCGGTGCTCCCAGAACAACATCGTCTAAAATAGAAACAAGTCACGTAAACGAGATGGTTTCGTTGGAGGTGATTGGTCAAACTTCTTCTCCCGTTGTGGTGGTTGGTAAAATCGGGATGCATCGTTTGGAGGTCGGTGGACAAACCTCTAGCTTCTCCTTCCTGATGGCTGGTAAAAACCGGACGGTTGAATTAGTTTGTTATTTTTTTAAAGAATTCTTGTGTAGTAATCTTTCATTTTAGTAGCAAGTTCAGCGATTCTGTTAGATTAGACTACAATGATGTAGAGTTAGCGAATTTGATAGGTCCTTAGAGGCTAGTCAATGACTCAATTCTATGTCTTACCCCAGTGTAATTTTGAGCTATTGTATTGTTTTGTCACTTGTTACTCTCATTATTAATATAATCGAGCTAGTCTTCTTCTTTCAAAAAATATACTGTCTATATGAAGTGATAAAATCGTTATAGAAAAATTGATTGTCTAGCTAGCTGAAGCCGATTAATATAATTGAAGCATCTAATTAATACTCCCTCCGTCCCGCAATCAACTTTTCAGTTTGACTTCACACAGACTAAGGAAATAAATTTGACTTTACTGTGGAGTGCACTGTTTAAACACTGTTTGACACTGTTTGGACATTGTTTGGGACTGTTTGGCCTTGTTTTGATGTAGATAATTTGCCAAATTAGGAAAGTATTGAAGTGTGAACTTAATTTAGGGACAGCCCAAAAAGGAAAGTGAGAACTTAATTGAGGGACGGAGGGAGTATATGATTTTGGGGCATGCCTTCCGTCAGGGCTGGAGAAGAATGCAAACAATAGTGCATCTAACTAGGGGTTGTTTGCAAATGCTTGTGTTTAAATAAAAACACTTTTTGGGAAAAAGTGATTAGTAGTAAAAGTTGGTAGTGTTTGGTAAAATAAGTGCTTTTTGTGTAATAGAAAAAGTAAAAGTAGATTCTACACGAATTCGAGAAAGTAAAAATTGGTAATGTTTGAGAAAATAAGTGTTTTTTCTTAAAAAAAAGCCACAATCACTTACTTTATGTGATTGCAAAAAGAGCCTTAGTACTCTGCACTGTAAAGTATAAATGTATTGTGTATATTGATTGATCAAAAACAATATACAGGTGTGTTTATATACTCGTATGACTAACTGTGAAGGCTAAGGAGATATACATGACTAGCTATAATTGAGGAGATAATACTGTATAGTAACAAACTAGCTATACGAAAGTACATAGTGATAAGGATAATAATTAATATTATTCTGATGCTCCAATACGCCCCCGCAAGATAGAGGTTCCGTTGGAAACTCCTAGCTTGGACCGAAACCGCTCAAATGGAACTTTACCAAGTGGCTTGGTGAGTATGTCGGCAATCTGGAATTTGTTGGAAATGTGACGAACTGAGAGTTGCCCAGTTTCAACCAGATCCCGGACAAAAAAGAAGTCAAGCGCTACGTGCTTCATGCGAGAGTGAAAGACTGGATTTACACATACGTACGTAGCTCCTTGATTATCACATAGCAACTGAGGTGAGTGAGATAATTTAACTCCTAATTCATGAAGAAGATTTTGAATCCATAAAATTTCAGCACTAGCATGAGCCACAGCCCTATATTCAGCCTCCGTAGAGGACCGCGAAACAGATTTTTGCTTTGCTGATTTCCATGAAATGATATTTGAGCCAAGATATAATACATATGCGGTGGTGGATTTCCCCCCGTCATGAATTCCCCCCCAATCCGAATCCGAGAAAGCAGTGAGTGTAAGGGGGGAGGAGCGCTTCAAGAAAAGACCATAGTTCAAAGTACCTTTGAGATACCTTAGAATACGTTTTACTCCCTGCCAATGAACATCCTTAGGGGCATGCATGTATTGTGATAACCTGTTGACGGCAAAGGATATGTCAGGCCTTGTGAACGCCAAATATTGTAAAAGTCCAAGGGCCCGCCTGTACTGCGTGGGATCAGTGGGATGCTTGTCGTCCGTAAGATGGGGCGGAGAGCTAGAACTCATAGGAGTGGCAGACTCCTTAGCTCCGTCCATATGATACTCCTCAAGAATGTGCAAAATGTATTGCCGTTGAGATAGGAAAATGCCCTCACGATGTGGAATGTTTCAACCCCAAGAAAATGATGCAAGGTGCCAAGGTCTTTAACGGAAAACCGGGTCGTGAGTTGCTTAATAAATTCTTCTAGAGCAGGAGTATGATTTCCAGTGAGCACTATATCATCAACATAGACAAGAAAGTACAACAAAACAGTATTGTGAGAAAATATAAATAAGGATGCATCTGCCTTCGATCTCTGAAAACCTGCAGAAAGAAGAAAACGAGATAACTCAAGATACCACGCACGTGGGGCTTGCTTAAGGTCATAAAGTGCTTTTTGAAGCCGACACACATGCGTGGGATGAGATGAGTCTTTGAATCCCGGTGGTTGCATCATATAAACTTCCTCCGACAAAGAGCCATGTAGGAATGCATTATTTACGTCCAATTGACGTAAGGGCCAATGACGTGAGAGAGCTATGGAAAGAATAATACGTATAGTTGCCGGCTTAGTGACCGGACTGAATGTTTCGGCATAGTCACGACCAGCCTGTTGCAAGAACCCACGGGCAACAAGCCGTGCCTTGTACCTTGCAATACTGCCATCAGCATTCCTTTTGATACGAAACAACCATTTGCATGATATGGGTGTGTGAGTATCACGAGGAACCAACGTCCAGGTTTGATTACGATTAAGTGCCTCCATTTCTTCTTTCATGGCCAGACGCCACTTAGGATCCGCTAAGACTTCTTTCACACTCGTTGGTTCCAGGGTTGGTAGTATGGGATGAGTGGTTGTATAGTTGACAAACTGACTTCCAAAATATTTTGGATTAGGGATGCGGTGACGGGTAGGGCGGGAATGATGAGGTGGCGTAGAAGAAGGTGGTGAAGATGTGGGTGGACTGTCAGATATATTATGCATGGGAGGGGGAGTTGGAGTTGTGGTTTGATACGTAGAATTATGTGATATGAGAGGGGGGGTGTTAGTATTATTATGGGGAGAGGGAATTATTGGTGGGGCCATTTGGTGTGATGAGTCATTATTAGTGGAGGGAGTGAGGTGAAGGTCGGTAGAATGAGATAAAGTGGAATGGGGATTATGGGTGGAGGTATTATTGGGAGGGGATAAGGTAGAATTGGAATTATTGTTATGGGTGCCTAGTAGTGCGGATGAGGTGATAAGGTTAGGCAGGGAAATTATAGGAGGGGGAGGTGTACTAGCCAAGGGAGATGGAGGACACGTGGCTGAGTGAGGGATGGGTAAGCATGGAGTGCATGTTGGATAGGGATGTTGGAGATGAGATGGCATGTCTCGGAACGGATATATATCAGGAACAAATTTTACATGCCTGCTGGTATATATTTTATGATGATATATATCAAGACAAAAATAAGCAGATTGAGACAATGAATAACCCATGAATACGCATGGTATTGAACGAGGCTGAGTTTTATTTTGGGTATATGGTCGTAACCACGGATAACATAAACAACCGAATGGTTGTAATTTTGTATAGTTGGGGTGTGTTTGATAAAGGCGGAAGTATGGGGTGTCATTGTCAAGGACCGGGGTAGGGAGCCGATTGATTAAATAAACAGCAGTCTGAAATGCAAATGTCCAGTATTTTATGGGAAGACCAGAATAGTGAAGCAAGGATAGTCCAGTTTCAACAATATGACGATGTCTCCGCTCAGCTAACCCATTATGTTCAGGTGTATGAGGCGGAGTAGTCATATGTGAAATTCCATGAGTGTTAAGGTAGGCACATAATTTAATAAATTCACCCCCATTGTCAGAAAAGAGTGTCGTTATTTGATGATTAAAATATTTTTCCACCAACCGATGAAATTGGGGAAACACACTAGCAACATCAGATTTTTGTTTAAGTGGGTATAGCCAAATGTAGCGAGTGAAAAAATCAACAAAGATGACATAATACTTGCATCCATCAACAGATAGAGTAGATGAACTCCAGACATCAGTATAAACAAGTTCTAAAGGACGGTGAGCACTCATAGAATTAACAAAGAATGGTAATTTGGTACTTTTATTGACTGAACAAGACATACAATGGAACGAACTAGCAGAATTACATGGGAAAAGATTTTTATTTTTATTCATTAAAAACGCAAAAACACGACTAGATGGATGACCCAAGATATGGTGCCACTGAGACGGAGCAAGACGTTGAATATAATTAAGCTGAGGACCTTGAATACTGGACACATAGTAGACATCATTATTGTTCTCCCCGCGTAGTAGTGGCGCCCCCGTGACCCGATCCTTGACAAGAAAATAATTAGAGAAAAATTCGATAGAGACATTATTAGTTTTGCATAACTTGGCAACGGAAATTAGATTTTTGTTTAAATGAGGAACACATAATATATGAGAGAGGGTGAGGGGACGGGTGGGTGTAGGTAGAGTGGAAGAACCAGTATGAGTGATTTTAAGGGCCTTACCATCACCTAAGTGGACTTCATCCGGACCACCATATTCAGCGAACGTAGGAAGGCGAGTGGCATCATTAACTACATGATGAGAGGCTCCACTGTCAAACATCCAGGACTGATTCTGTTGAACAGAGGGGGCAGCAACATAATTAACCATCAGATTGTTAGACGAGGTGGGATGAGGAATATGATTATCACGAAGAAACCGTTGCAATTTTCTGCACTGTTGAACTGTGTGACCGATGTTGTCACAGAACCGGCAAGTAGATTGGTCTGCATTTGCTGATCGGTTGTATTGGTGAGGTGGGCCACCTCGGCCCCGTCTGAATGAATTTCCTCTGCTGCGGGCTGGAGCTTCCTGACGTCGATCATTGTGATAGGGACCACGTTGACCACGTTCAGAAGCTTGAGTGGTGTTCGCAGTGGGCAAAAGGGAGTCACTGGCTGCTGCTTCATTAATTTGTTGCTCATGTTCCAACAATATGGGACGTAATTCTGCCATAGGTAATGGATTTTCACGTATCCGGATAGCTGATTTGATATCTCCATAATCCGGCCCAAGACCTCGGAGAATATGAATAACCAGATCCTCCTCAGATATGGGATTTTGGGCAAGAGCAAGTGCGTCAGAAATTGCCGTCATCTCCGCCAAATAATCAAAAATCGATCTGTTTCCTTTGGTAGTTTTGGCCAAGGTATTTTTAAGAGAAATAATATGACCACGGGATGTACTAGCATTGGTAAGCGCTAGTGTATCCCACGCACCATGAGCAGTGAGTGCGGATGAAAGAACAGGCTGAATGGTGTCGGAACAACTGCCTAGAAGAGCGCTCAAAATTACTTTATCTTGGCGATACCAAATGGTATAGCAAGGATTGATTTGGGATTTTGCAGCATCCAGGAATTTATCAGGAGCGGCGATAGTGCCGTCAACGTATCCTTCAAGTCCGAGGCCGACAAGAGCAGCATGGACTTGGCATTTCCAAACCGGGTAGTTGGAAGATGTGAGTTTGATAGGGAAGTTGGTGGTGGCTGTGAGTTGAATCACCGGGGTGGTGGCGGTGATATCCATCGGGAAAAAAGAAAAAACTATGCTCGTTTGAGGCTGGCTCTAGATACCATGTAAAGTATAAATGTATTGTGTATATTGATTGATCAAAAACAATATACAGGTGTGTTTATATACTCGTATGACTAACTGTGAAGGCTAAGGAGATATAGATGACTAGCTATAATTGAGGAGATAATACTGTATAGTAACAAACTAGCTATACGAAAGTACATAGTGATAAGGATAATAATTAATATTATTCTGATGCTCCAATACGCACTACCTATCAGTTTTATACTTTTATTAAAAGTATTGTTATTTTTTGACGGAAAAAGTATTGTTATTTAAACAAGGGAAAAGGTGCAAATAGGCCCATATACTAACCAAAAAATGTCAAATAAGCCCCTATTTAGGAGGTTCTGTTCGGCCGTCGTCATTTGGGGTGGTTCCCGGTGGAATTTTTTGATGAAATTTTTTGATCATCTTATTCATCAAGTGTAGTTTACTCATATCAAATTTCAGCTAAAACTTCAATCGGGAAGACATTCAAATGAATTCTTGAAAATAACTGCGAAGTTAGAAGCGCAGTTATCTTCAAGAATTCATTTGAATGCCTTCCCGATTGAAGTTTTAGCTGAAATTTGGTATGAGTAAACTAGACTTGATGAATAAGATGTTCAAAAAAATTCATCAAAAAATTCCACTGGGAACCACCTCAAATGGCGACGGCCGGATAGAGCCTCCTAAATAAGGGCTTATTTGACCTTTTTTTGTTAGTACATGGGCCTATTTGCACCTTTTCCCTTTAAACAATCGTGTCCTTGTCAATTATTGGAAACTATAGTTATAACTTATGAATTATGATACACAACATTTTTAATGTATTGAAAGTGGGTGAGCACAATAATATTGTTCCATAGCATCTATAAGCTCAACGTCAGATTTCTATATCAATGACTTGTAATTTGTAAAACATACTCCGTATTCATTAACTATTGCACATATTTGTTTCTTAACTATTGACTTAATTATGTAATGGACAATTTAGAATACAATTAGCCACGTAGAAAGCATAAAATCTACAACAATCATGTTCCAACTCATTTTAATAAAGAAATCAAGAACATTAAACGTCTACATCGTTCGAGAGATACATGAATAAAATACAATATTTCCATATAATACATGGTTGGTGATGTATCATGCTACTGTCTGGTTTTTTGAGCTGAGGTTGGGAAGTCATGTCATAATTATGGAGTAATTAGTTGGTATGGTGGGGGATAAATTAATTACTCATTTTTATGGACTTATGAAGATTCGCCATCTTACAATTTTGTGTAAAAAATAATTTGACGATATAGATAATATTGAACCACAAAATTAATGTTTGATTACATTGTTTCTAAAATTGAGATCGCAAGTTCGCAACTTGGTGGCAAAACTGTTAGCTAATATTTTGGTTCATATGTTCGGTGCAGCACCTAGTGACAGCTAGAAGATTCGGATAGATTAGTTTGCTTGTAAATATCTTGAATACCTTATTTTCCTTTTATTTTTCCTTCCTTATTTGGTAGCTAGTTAATAGGCAGCAGTTACGTAGAGCAACACACAATTGTATATTGTATATATGGATGTAATACACGCTTCAAATGGCAGAGGAAATATTACATTGAAATATTCCCTTTCATTGTGCCTTTCTATATGGTATCAGAGCAGTGTCTCTCGATCCTGCGATTCTCTTATCAATCACGATAAACAATGATCGGTGAGGTGGCTGTGCCTCGCGGTAACGACGATCCTCCTCCAAATGACGCTCAAATAGAATTGCAGGCAACATCCATACGAAAACCTGCAATTTCCGATAAACAATGGCAGACTTTGCTCCAACTTTTGGACTCTTGCAAGGGAACCTCTTCTGAAGACAAATTAACAGGTACGAAAAATCAAATTGAATGGCTTCTTGATTCAGGAGCCTCCTATCATATGACAGGAGCAGGGCAGATCTTGAAGAAGACTGAAAAGTTGATGCCGGTGCCGGTGATTCTGCCCAACGGCGAAGTAACTCATGCTTCACATATGGGAGATGTGCGGTTGAGTTCTGTCCTAACACTTAGAAACGTCTTACTTGTGCCTGGTTTGAAGTGTAACTTGATATCAATTGCACGATTAATTGAAGAGCTGAAATGTGATATATTTTTTACTAATGATATTTGTGTGATACAGGACCTACCTTCGAGGATGCCGATTGGAGTGGGTAGACGACGTGGGGGAGTTTATTATTTTCACAGTCTTGACAAAATTGAAGCTCATTCAGTGAAGGCATCCGATTCAGCACAGTTGTGGCACTCACGGTTAGGACATCCTTCGTTGTCAGTACTACGATTAGTAAATTGTTTGAATAAATCTTCATTCAAGCAAGTTCAGAATAAAGAATGTGATGCGTGTTTGCGTGCTAAACAAACTCGCGATGTGTTTAAGATTAATGATGGTAGAGCTGGAGAACCATTTGAATTGATTCATTGTGATGTGTGGGGTCCGTATAGATTTTCTGCTTCATGTGGTGCCCGTTATTTTTTAACTGTTGTGGATGATTTTTCTAGAGCTGTCTGGGTGCATTTGATTCGTGAGAAAAGTGAGGTCCAAAATATTCTGAAACAATTTTTTGCCATGACGCAACGTCAATTTAATAAAATGGTGAAAGTTGTGCGTTGTGATAATGGGATGGAATTTCAAGCTTTAAGAAGCTATTTTTTGGACAATGGTATTATTTTTCAAACATCATGTGTGTATACCCCGCAACAAAATGGTAGAGTTGAAAGGAAACATAGGCACATTCTTGAAATGGGTAGGGCTTTAAGATTTCATGCAAACTTGCCCATTAATTTTTGGGGTGAATGTATTTTGACGGCTGGGTATCTAATCAACCGCTTACCTTCACCGCTGCTGGGTAACAAGAGTCCTTATGAACTGCTGCATAATAAGCCTCCACTTTATGACCAACTTCGAGTCTTTGGTTGTCTCTGTTATGCTCATTCAAAAAATACAAACGGTGATAAATTCGCCTCACGGGGAATTAAGTGTGTTTTCCTAGGATATGCCTATTCACAAAAGGGTTGGAAAGTGTTCGATTTGGAAAATGGACGCCATTTTGTGTCACGAGATGTTCATTTCTTTGAAACCTCTTTCCCATATAAGCAAGATGCTCAACCTACTGATTGTAGTCCAAATGGAATAGCACATGCCGATCCACACATCACTGACCAGTTTGCATGGTTACACACTTTCCATGCAAATGAGGATCACGATTTGGACAAAAGTCCACCAGGAGGTGAGACTCCACATACTGACAACTTTAGCAACATGACAAGACCCAATAACACACATGATGGGGAACCGTTTGCTGAGGAACAAATTGGTCCATCTACAGGAGCATCACTGCCCCATGACAATCAAACAGAATCCCAAACTTCTCAAGCACACCCAGTTGTGCAATCAGCTCCTACTTCGGCACCTGGAGCACGTGTGGGCGCACGCCACAGAAAGCCCCCGATTTGGCATCAAGATTATGACGTACAATTGAATACTGTGAAGATAAACTCTCCTCCCGTTACTCGCCCCTCTCCGTTGGTTGAATCAGGTAATCCGTATCCCTTATCTCATTATGTAAATTATAATCGTTTTTCGGTGCAGCATCGTGCCTTTTTGGGAGCCATTTCAGCTTCCAAAGAACCGACCACTTTTCGTGAAGCCGTACGTGACCCACGGTGGAGAGAGGCTATGCAGCGAGAAATCCAGGCTCTTGAGCGCACAGGTACATGGTCTCTCCAAGCTTTACCTCCGGGTAAGAAAGCTATATTTTGTAAATGGGTATTTAAAATTAAATATAAAAGTGACGGGACTGTCGAGCGCTACAAGGCACGCCTTGTTGTATGTGGAAACAGACAAGTGCAGGGCATTGACTACACTGATACCTTTGCACCGGTAGCCAAAATGGTGACTGTACGTACCATTTTAGCTGTTGCTGCCTCCCGTCATTGGGAATTACACCAGATGGATGTGGACAATGCATTTTTACACGGAGATCTCCATGAAGAAGTCTATATGCATTTACCCCCGGGTTACTCTACTTCTACCTCCGGCCAGGTATGTCGTTTGACGAGATCTCTTTATGGCCTACGACAGGCACCACGTTGCTGGTTCTCTAAACTCACCGCTGCTTTGAAGTCTTATGGGTTCCGCCAGTCACTAGCTGATTACTCATTATTTACTCTTCGAAAGGGTAATCATATTTTGTGCATTTTGGTTTATGTTGATGATCTCCTTTTGACTGGTAATAATCATGAGATGATACTGGAATTCAAAGCATTTTTAGCTCGTTCATTCCCCGTTAAGGATTTGGGTAACATGAAATACTTTCTTGGGATTGAAGTAGCTCGCAATCCTACTGGGATTTTCTTGTGTCAACGGAAGTATGTACTTGATATTCTTGCAGAGACAGGTCTGACAGGTGCTAAACCAGCCTCTTTTCCCATGATACAAAATCATGGGTTGCAATCTGATTCTGGCCCTTATTATCCTGATCCTGACCGTTATCGCCGCTTGGTTGGGAAGCTTATCTATCTCACTTTGACGAGACCCGACATTAGTTATTCTGTGCATATTCTATCCCAATTCATGCAACAACCCCGTTTAGCTCATTGGGAAGCCGTGGTTCGGGTACTTCGCTATCTCAAGGGTCATCCAGGACAAGGTATTCTTCTCCGGTCTAACTCCAGTCTTACTTTAACTGGATATTGTGATTCTGATTGGGCCAGTTGTCCGGTTACTCGTCGCTCAATTACGGGCTACTTTGTGACCTTGGGTAATTCTCCTATCTCTTGGCGTACAAAGAAGCAAGCAACTGTATCTCGCTCCTCAGCCGAGGCCGAATACCGATCCATGGCCACTCTCACTTGTGAACTTGTATGGCTGAAAAATTTATTGCGCTCCTTGGATGTGACACATCCTTCTCCGGTGCCCATGTATTGTGATAATCAAGCCGCCATACATATTGCCTCTAATCCTGTATTTCATGAACGCACCAAACACATTGAACTCGATTGTCACTTTATCCGTGATCATATTCAAGCTGGCACTATTACTACTCATTACAAGTCCTCTTCTGAACAATTAGCTGACCTCTTTACTAAATCATTGGGGGCACATCAGTTCACCTACTTACTTGCCAAGATGGGCATGTGTGATCCGCATGCTCCATCTTGAGGGGGGGTGTTAGCTAATATTTTGGTTCATATGTTCGGTGCAGCACCTAGTGACAGCTAGAAGATTCGGATAGATTAGTTTGCTTGTAAATATCTTGAATACCTTATTTTCCTTTTATTTTTCCTTCCTTATTTGGTAGCTAGTTAATAGGCAGCATTTACGTAGAGCAACACACAATTGTATATTGTATATATGGATGTAATACACGCTTCAAATGGCAGAGGAAATATTACGTTGAAATATTCCCTTTCATTGTGCCTTTCTATAAAAACCCCTTAGAATAAACCTTATGTCCTTTTTAATTATTGTTGAAGTTTTTAGGGTATAAACTCGCATGCCATATTATTACGTATGAGGGAATATAAATACAGCAATGTACATGGGCCGAAAAACTGTTGCCCTACAACTATTACGTATGGTAATTACATGGGCTAACTAAAAATTATGTACAAAATAATATTCCTAATACCCCCCCTCAAGTTGGAGCAGGTGGATTCCAAATGCCCAACTTGCCGAGTAAATACTGAAATTGTTGAACACCCAAAGCTTTGGTATAAATATCTGCGAGTTGTTCCGAAGTAGACACATGCATAGTGCGAATAGTCCCATCTTGAACCGCATCACGAACATAGTGACAATCCACCTCAATATGTTTTGTACGTTCATGAAAAACAGGATTCTGAGCAATATGCATGGCAGATTGGCTGTCGCAATGAAGTGGAATGGCGTGAGAATTGGTAACACCCAAACTAGTAAGAAGTGCTTTTAGCCATTTTAATTCAGAGGTAGCGGATGCCATGGAACGGTATTCGGCTTCAGCCGAAGATCGAGAGACAGTATGTTGTTTCTTGGTTTTCCACGAAATAGGAGAAGAGCCCAGGAAAATCATCCATCCAGTAACAGATCGACGAGTGAGTGGGCAACTAGCCCAATCAGAATCACACCAAGCCGAAAGAGACAAGTCATCATGGGAACTGAGAAGAATGCCCTGACCGGGAGTTCCCTTGAGATATCGAACCACTCGCAGAGCAGCATCCCAATGATCTTGGCGAGGAGCATGCATGAACTGTGCTAATACATGTACAGCATAAGCAAGATCAGGACGAGTGAAGGATAGATAAATAAGGCGGCCAACAAGGCGACGATAAGGTTCTGGGTCAGAAAGCATTTTTCCATCAGCAAGAGCAAGAGAATGATTTTGAGGAAGTGGTGTACTGGCCGGTTTAGCCCCCAGAAGACCAGTGTCAGCAATTATATCCAAAGAATATTTTCGTTGGCATAAAAACAAACCCTCAGTACTTCGGGCAACCTCCACTCCCAAAAAATATTTTAATACCCCCAGGTCCTTCATGTGAAAACAAGTACTCAAGTATGCTTTGAAAGCTCGCAATGCCGGAGGGTCATTTCCAGAAATTATTAGATCATCAACATAAACTAGGATAGAAAGCTGTACCGTTCCTTGCTGATATGTAAAGAGAGAGTAATCCGAGTAGCTTTGTCTAAAACCATAATCCTTTAGAGCACGTGCAAGCTTGGCAAACCAGCATCGGGGAGCTTGACGTAAGCCATACAATGACTTTTTAAGACGACAAACCAACCCTGGAGAACTAGGGGTGAAGCCCGGAGGAAGCTTCATGTAAACCTCTTCGTCAAGATCCCCGTGAAGAAAAGCATTATGAACATCCATTTGGTGAATCTCCCAATTTTTTGCAGCAGCAACCGCTAGAAAGACACGTACTGTAACCATCTTGGCTACAGGAGCAAAAGTCTCATTGTAGTCCAAGCCTGCAATCTGATGATTCCCCAGAATGACAAGTCGCGCCTTAAGCCGTTCCACTCTCCCGTCTGAATGGTACTTGATCTTATAGACCCATTTACATCCCAGAGCCTTCTTCCCGGAAGGCAACGGTGTCATAACCCACGTTCCATTATCTTCCAGAGCACGTATTTCAGTGGCCATGGCCTTACGCCACCCCTCATGCTGCATGGCCTCGCAAAATGAGCGAGGTTCAACCCCTTCGTGTACTGCAGCTATAAAACAACGATGCCGAGCAGAAAAATTGTTAAAACTAATAAAGTGTGCTAAAGAGTAAGACGTACCGGAGGAAGATGACGGAAGCGGCGAGGTCGGGGAGGGACTCATATGACTAGCCGCATGCGTGATGTAATCTCGGAGGAGAACAGAAGGTCGTCGCTCACGTTGACCTCAACCCAATTGTGGCCCAGCATGTTCCGAAGACATCCCTGCACCCTCGGAAATGGTCACAAGATTCTCAGGTGGGTTAACCAAGGAATCCGAGGATTCATCACTTCCTGCCTCTATATCCGAAGTACCAGAAGTGCCTTCATCAACCGTAGCTAAGGGAGTGGGCTCCAGATCATCATCAAATCCAAGAGATGAAGGAAGAGTAATCGGCTCAGTGTTTGGAGTTGGCTCCGCGAATGGAAAAACTTGCTCATAAAAGACAACATCTCGAGAGACAAAAAATTCTTCATTATCTAAATCAAACAGCTTCCACCCTTTTTTCCCGTTGGGATAACCGACAAAAATGCATTTACGCCCTCGTGGTGCAAATTTATCCCCTTTGGCACGTTGATTATGTGCAAAACACAAACATCCAAAGACGCGTAATTCATCATACTGAGGCGTTCTGCCACACACAATCTCGAAAGGAGTTTTATTTCCGAGAATTCCAGAAGGTGTACGGTTTATTAAATACACAGCTCCAAGAATACACTCCCCCCAAAACCGGATAGGCAGACTCGCTTGAAGCATGAGAACATGCGCAA